GGCCTTCTGAGTCGTTATTCCAGCCCCCGGTTCCCATCAGGCCCTTGAGAAGTTTGGGGTTACCTGCCCGCCTGCCTGTGACCCTACCAGCTGCTTCTTGAGTTTCAGCTGGTGATCCCCAGTGACAGATGGGCTGATGGTGCGGCCGTGGTGTTGGCGGTGGGTCTCCAGTAGGTAAGCTCTCTCTGTGTCCGCCCAGCGGCCACATCTGTCCCCTCCTCCAGCGCAGCCCTAGGACCCACGTGCGAGCTGCCGCATGGCTAGGGCCGGTCTGCGCTGTGCGGGCACCCTCTGCTGGCCTCCAGTGGGCACGCAGGGCCGACCAAGAAGCAGGGAACCAGCAACCATGAGGGTAAGAACGGGGTGGGGGTGAGTCTTCCTGTCAGATAAGGGGACCTAAGGGACACTTGCCCCACAGAGAATTCCAGATGACCCACCGAACAATTCGAGGAAGTGGATGCAGAAGGCACAAAGAGGCTAAAGAACCTCTAGGTTCTAAAAAACCAGGGTCACACAGCCTAGTGGGCAATTTAAAGCTGGCATCCCACAGTAGCTCTGGGAGCCAGCAGGGTGATGAGCTTACCTGAAGATCTGCTTCACCTCCACTCATTCACCTCCCATCCACTCACCCAGTCACCTCCCATCCACTCACCCAGTCACCTCCCATCCACTCACCCAGTCACCTCCCATCCACTCACCCAGTCACCAAGCGCTCGTTGAGCACATACTGCGTATGCCAGGTGCTGAGAGAACATGGCAGGGGGCACACCTGACCAGGCGTCTTAGAGATGAAACTTTGGGGAGGGGACAGACAGCTATGTCAATAAGTCATGCTCAGCTGTGATAACAAAGGAGCCAGGCACGCACTCCTACCTGGCTTGCTGCACCGGAGCCCACCTGCCCTGCAGCTCGCTCGGCCTTGGCCCCTGTCCTCTGTGGCCGCTGGCTTGGCCTTCCAGCTTCTGCTGAGCTCTGAGAGGTGGAAGCCGGGGCCACCTCTGCCCACCTCACCCCATGACTGGTGGCGTGCTGCCTGCTCCTGCCCCAGGCCCAGGGCAAACTTCTCCCTGGCATCAACCCTGTTTGTCCCTCCTCCCTGTCACCCAGAGAGTTTAGTGAGCAGTGACAGCAGGAGCCCCCGCCCCCACCACTTCCTCCAGGACCATGGAGACCCTGTCCTTGTCAGGCCTGCCTGGAGAGAGAGGAATCCATGGCTTCAGGTGACATTCCAGCACGAGCTAGCACTGCAGTCAGGACTGGGTCCCAGGTGTTGTGTGAGCCAGAGGCGGCGCTCACTGTAGCGCTGGAACAGGAGCAGGTGGGCCACGCAATTACGCTGTTGTGGGATCACCATGGCCACACCAGCTCTGAGATGCGGCTTTAGAGCATCTGCTGACAGCCCCTACCCCTTGGCACCAGGCCGGCATTGAGGAGGGGCCGTTGGCCACATCCTGGTATGTACTATTGGCACAGCTACAAGGCCCAGGCTTCACCAGCCCTGCCAGGCATGTCCCCAGCGGGCCACAGGGACAAGGTCTTTTCTGTCTGAGCTACACATCTGCACCTAGAACCCCCCACGCTTCTCCAGCCAGCATCCCGAGGCACACAGGAGCCATGCAGAGCCAGATGGTGGCGAGTGCTACTTTCCTTGCCTCACACATGCATGGCCAGACATGCCCAAGCCAGGCTGGAGCTGGCTTCTCTTCCACAGGAGGCCGCCTCGCACAGAAACATACAGGAGCATCAGGAATCAGGAGCTACTCTGAGCCGGCAGGTGCTACAGTGTGTACTAGGGCAATGTGGGTCAGGGAGGGTCTATGGATGCCCTCCAGGTGGGTGACCTGAGCAGGTTTCCACGAAGAATGTCAATGCTGGGGCAGGTGCCTGGCAGCAACGATGCTCATTACAGAGAGGGACGGTGAGAGGGTGTCCTGCTTGTTCACTCTCAATGGCTGATGCAGTCAGGGTTGGGCCAGGCGGAGGCCAGGAACCAGGAACTCCCATCTGGGATTCAGACACATGGGCCATCCTCTGGGGCTTTCCCAGACACACCAGCAGGGAGCTGAATGGGAAGTGGAGCCGCTGGAGCCCGAGCCAGTGCCAGGGCCATAGCTTCACCTGTGGTGGCACAATGTCAGCCTGTTGGCAACAAGTTCTCTCCAAGATATGCCAAGTGTGGTGATCCACCTCAAGAAAACTGTGGATCCAGTGCCCACAGATCGGGTCTACACGCGTGTGGCCATGCAGGCTCAGCTGGACAGCACTTCCAGGGTCACACCTCCCAGGGGCAAAGGATGAGGGGGCAGCTGATGACCAACTGTCTCTCACAGAGGCACAAGTGGGTCATGACCTGGTACGTGTCTACTCTTTCACAGGAGAAAGGAAGAATCTAAATCCAGTACCTGCATCTTCCTTTGCCAAGCCAGAACACTCTAGAATCCCCTGGGCCTGTGCCCCACTCAGCTGTGATCCACGTGCCTGGATCCCACATACGGGGTCAGTCGTAGCGACAGTGGGGGTGACGCTGCCTCTAGCACCAAGACCTCCCTCCCGCAGGGCCACTCCATCTGTAAGGACAGCGCCGAGCACACACACCCTTCTGGCCAGTCTGCGGGTCTGCTGTCCCCTCCGCAGCTCCAAGCCAGCCACACACAGTTGGTGCCACATTTTCGCTTGCCAACTGCAAAGCCTACAGGCAGCTTCATGCTGCCCCAGTCCTCCTGTAGTTCATTCCTCCATTTAGGGGTGACTTGGATGAGGGAGGGTGGGCATGACAGGTGGCTGGGAGGTTCGCCCTGTTTCAACAGAGCTCACACCATTGTTCATCATGGCTGAGGCAGTAGTATGGTCAAGGTGCCCCTGTCCAAGGGGCTGGGAACTTTCTAGAGCTGGTCAGAGGTCACAGCGCAAGAGCTATCCACTGCTGGCTCACTGGGTGTCTGCCAGGAGGGCTGCTTTGAGCACCCAATGCCTCCCCTCCCTCTTTCCCCACAAGTAACGGGACGGATTTCCCACTGGCTCAGCCGGAGCAGGGCAGAGGTCAGACTGCTATCCCGGAAAGGCAGTGGATGGAACCTCCGCTGAGCACCATGTGCTGGATTGTAGCCTGCACCCTGTACACACTCACCATCAGACACTGGGAAGAGCCGTCACGGGCGGTGGGACCCGGGGTGCTATGTCTCCAGGGCAGTCCCTGCTGGTCTGCTGGGAGCCGACAAATGCCTGCTCTAGGCTCCTGGGAATTCTGGAGCTGCCACCGTCAGGGTGAGCCTCTTTGGCTTGTTCCCTGGAGCACTGGGAAAGACTCTGGAGTCTTCCATCCGGCTCTCTTCCCTGGGCAGAGCAGGTGAAGGTGTGTTCGGCCCTGCCTGCTGTCAGGGATGAAGGGCTTTCAGGGGAACCCCTGGGCCCACACCTCGCCCCCAAGAGCAGGAAGGGCAGTGCTTGCTGGGGATGTGCAATGGCACGTCCAAACCATGGGCGGAGTCAGCCCGACACACGTGCACTTATCCACGCAGGCGTGGGTCTTCCTCGCAGGAGACACTGGTCTCCAGCACGTGGCTTCCAAGGCACTGCTAGCAGACAGCATCCCACGCAGCTGCTTCAACAAAGTTCTTTTTTTTTTTCCCCTTCTAAAGGTTTATTTATTTATTAAAGATTTATTCATTTTTATTACAAAGCCAGATATACAGAGGAAGACCTTCTGTCCAATGATTCACTCCCCAAGTGACCGCAACAGCCGGTACTACACCAATCCAAAGCCAGGAACCAGGAACTTCTTCCGGGTATCCCACACAGGTGCAGGGTCCCAAGGCTTTGGGCTGTCCTGCTTTCCCAGGCCACAAGCAGGAAGCTGGATGGGAAGTGGAGCTGCTGGGACTAGAACCAGCGCCCATATGGGATCCCGGCGCGTTTAAGGTGAGGATTTTAGCCGCTAGGCCACTCCGCCGGGCCCGGGTTTATTTATTTTTATTGGAAAGTCAGATACACACAGTGGAGACAGAAAGATCTTCCATCCACTAGCTCACTCCCCAGGTAGCTGCAATGGCCAGAGCTGAGCAGAACCAAAGCCAGGAACCAGGAGTTTCTTCTGGGTCTCCCACGGCTTTGGGCCATCCTCGACTGCTTTCCCAGGCCACAAGCTGGGAGCTAGATGGGAAGTGCGGCTGCTGATACACATATGGGATCCCAGTACATGCAAGGAGAGAATGTTAGCCATTAGGCTACCATGCTGGGCCCAAGACTATGATTTTAAAAAAGGATTCTTGGGATTGGCATGGTAGCTTAGTGGCTAAAGTCCTTACCTTGCACATGCCAGGATCGCATATGGGCGCTGGTTCTAATCCTGACAAGCCCCCACTTCCCATCCAGCACCCTGCTTGTGGCCTGGGAAAGCAGTTGAGGATGGCCCAAAGCCTTGGGACCCTGCACCCACGTGGGAGACCAGGAGAGGCTCTGTTTGTTGCAGCCACTTGGGGTCAATCAGTGGATGGAAGATCTTCCTATCTCTCTGCATACATGACTTTCCAGAAAAGTTAAAAAAAAAATCTGATGGCTGTTTAAATAAACAAAACCATAACCTTGGGACTGGCATTGTGGTATAATAGACCACTTGCAATGCTTGGCACCTGTCACGGGTGCCAGTTCAAGTCTGGCTGTTCTACTTCCAGCCCAGCTCCTGGGAAAGCAGCAGCAGATGGCCCAAGCGCTTGTCTCTCCATGGGGGAGATTGACAAGAAGCTCCCAGGGCCCTGGGCTGCCGTGGCCTGAGCACTGGACGGCTTACAGACCTCTGTTTTTCCTCCTCTGTAACTTTTTAAATAAAAACACCCCTCCAGGGAAAAAAGGTTAAACCTCTGAATGTTACCGACAAATAGCTGTGTGCGCCCCCTTCTCATGTCCTGTGACACGTCCTTGAGGACTGGCCGGCCCCATGGCATCCCAGTCATGGGTGCTGTCCCTGGACCGCTATGCCAAGAGCAAGAAGAGCAAGGCTTGTGAAATACGAACGCACACTTTATTATATTAAAACCAGGCAATGGTCTGACAAGAAAAAGGCTGCGTATGGAATACTGTTAGGTTAGACGGAAGCCCAGGACAGGACCTCCTTAGAACCCCAACCCCCAGGGAATGGTGGCTGCTTCAAAAGGAAGTTTTTCACTTAAATACTAAATTAAAAGAAAAAAACAAAACAAAAAACCCTGGAGGACACCATAACTTGCTTTTATTTCAGTATCATCCATGCTTCAGCTTCGAGTGGTCCTGGGGGGCGATGGGGAACTCTGCTGGGTGCCAGGGGCCGGGCTGCCCGCATCGGGGCCCTGCCGTATGCGCCGACTTCCACCTCCATGCCCGCGCCAGCCCAGCCCCGCAGCATGGCTCCGAGGTTCTCTCTGTTCCAGTTGTCTGATTCCAAATTTGACCCAAGGGACCGCGGATGCCCCAAGCAACAGCCCTGTCTGCAACGTCTTCCATGTTGAAAAGCAGAAGCAACTGTGCGAGAGGACGATGCAGAGGCTCCTGGTGTGGATGGGTCTCCAGGCAGCCTGTGCCCACGCCGAAGCACCAAGGCCTCCGAGAGCTGGCAGGTCTGGGTTATCACCACCCTCTCAGAATCCGAGCTGGGAGAGCTCCTCCATGGCTGCCGACCCGGGCACAGGGCGGGAGCCCCGGGACTCACTTGCGGGCCTGGTGTCGGGTGGCTGTGGTTCCCCAGCTCCAGGAGGCCTCCCTGCAGAAGTGTCAGGAGTGAGGGGTGATGGAGCACAAAGGGCCTGAGGGAGAGGGGAGCACACACCCCTCCATGGAGTGTGGGAGCAAGGCGTGGGCGAGCCCTGGAGTCCGCCCTGAAGGCCAATTTCAGAGGGGGGGGTGAAGGGTTACAATCTATGCTTCGGCCATTGGTGGGGGAGGGAGGCAGGGGACATGATGGAGAGGGTACCAATTAAGACTCAAGAAAGAAACCAGGGGGAGACGCACCCCCACACCCCTGCACTAGTCCCACGGCTGCCCCCTGAAACCTTCACCTCTCCTCTAGGGAGCCACCTCAAGCTGCAGGGAGGCAGGGGCGGGGCAGGAGGGTGGGGAAGGAGGCAGAGGCCCAGGCCAGGTGAGCAGCAGCAAGGTGACTGTGTGACGTGTCTTTTCACAGTTGAGTTAGCTGTGTCCCACCAGTGAGGGTGGGAATTGATTTAAATAGGCTTTCTTGATCCCGGAAGTTCAACTACGTGGACAGTGGTTACACTTGACAGGATGGTGTTATAGCACAACTTATATATTTCAAATGGACAAAAAATTAGTATCATTTACAGTATCCTTAGATAAATTGCCTTTGAATGGGAGCTTCCTTTCCAGTACTTGGAGGCCTACAAGATGAACCTAGAAAATGGACTACTGCGGAGCAGGCGGCCTGCTGGTGGCCGGCAGCGTCCTGCGGCCTAGTTGCTGTAGCACTGTCCTTCGGGCGGCTGCGGGAGCTTCAGGTTCTCTTTTGCCATCATCAGGCGCCGCAGCTCCTGCAGCACGACTTTGATGCTGTACGAGTTCTGCCACTTGGCCAGCACCGAGATGGCCCGAGGGTCCACCTACAGAGGCAGACAGACACACATCAGGGGGCTGCTCAGAAGCCCAGCTTGTCATACCCTCCCTGGGGCAGGTCTACTCCCCACTTCACCAGAGAGGTGGCAGTGGTGACGCTGACACTGGAGACCCACTCGGGTCTCAGTAATGTGTCCCAGGCTGGCTGCACTGCTCTGCCCGCCTGCTGCGCCCCTCGGCCACTGCGCAGAGCCATGAAGGCAACCTCGGCAATGGCAGCCAGGGCCTGGAGCCCAGGTCACTTAGTGCGGTGCGTCCCACAGCACAGGCTGGTCCTGGGGCAGGAGTTTCAGTGGAATTCAAGTGCAGCTTGACACACTGGGCACACGGCTCCAAAGCCCGTCTCCTGTGTGTGTGAGGGCAGTGACAAGAGCAAACCCACCGCCCTGGGACACAGGTCTCTCACACTCATAGCCTCTGGCGAGTAGCAGGCAGTGTGGGAGGGCACTGCCAGTCCCCGTTGCCATCACTGCCTTCCGCGGTGAGCGAGGCTGCTGCTTCATGGAGGTGCCTGGGGCGAGGTGCAGCTCACTAGGCACCCCAGATGACCCAGCTCCCTGATGGGGCCTGAAGCAGCCCTGCTTGCTGTGGGCATTTGGGGCGTGGACCAGCAGATGGAAGACCTTTCTCTTTTTTAAGCAAGTAAATAAATCTTAAAAAGAAAATGCAGTACAGGTTGAGCATCCCCTATTTGAACTGCAAGTGCTTCAGATTTGAGGTTGCTGGACTTTAGGACACTGGCAGACACCTTATAAATAATATCCTAATACGAAATGTCCAACAACTGAAACATTTTTCTATTTGAAAGGCAGAGATATGCAGGAGAGATCCTCCAGCTGCCAGCTCACTTCTCTAATGCCTACAACAGCTGGGGCTCAGGCAGGGCTGGGCTGGGCTGGGCTGAGGCCTGCCACTTCCCCCAGGGCTCCCCTAGGGCAGCAGCAAAGCGTGTGCCGCCTCCCAGGGTGCACAGTGGCAGGGGGCTGCAGCAGAAGCAGAGGGGGCATCTTGACCTCAGCTGGGAATCCCAAGGAGCAGTTAACCCTCACCACAACCCCCAGCTACCACGCCCACCCACACACCGGAGACCCTTTGACCAAGTGTCATGCTGGCATGCAGAAACATTGAGGCGATGGACTGGGAACTCAACCTGTAAAATAAGTTTACAAAGCTGAGCCATTAAGGAACCCAATAGTTCCTACTGGTGGTTAAGGGCCAGGAGGGAAAGGCATGGTTACAAGGCCTGAGCGTGCTCCTGCTGAAGGTCACAGCCACAGAACCAGTGCAGGTGAGTGTGTCAGAGCACTGGGGACAAGGAGTGGAGAGAGTGCCCCGGCCTGCACACACCAGGTGAGCCAGGGGCAGGCGGCTGGTGGGGCAGGCGGCTGGTGCAGCCAGAATGGCCCTGGTGGTAAACAGGGCCTGTGCCGACCCTGGGCAGGAAGGGTTGGGGAGGCTGGAAAACTTACCACTCCGTTAGAACTATTAATTCCATTCATGTTAATTTTTGTTACAAATCGTACAAAGGGGGGAGCTTCTGGGTATTTGGGTCCACATTCTATTTTAAGGCTGTATATTCGGTTTTCATAAATTGTCTGGAAAGAAAGAGTAGAAATGTGTCAGGCGATTAGGAACAACGAATTTGCACAGGACAGCACCCACAAGCCCGCACTAACACCCACTCACAGGAGCGCAGCCCCTAGCTGGCAGGCAGCTCGACCGACTCTCCCACCAGCTTGCCCGAGGGGCACAGACAGACCTTGAACCTGTAAGCCAGCACCCTGATGTTACACTTAGCGTGAAGGCCAGCAAGAAGACTGTCCAGGCTCGCTCCCTGGCTCGCCCCCTGGCCCTGGTCTCTGGACTCAAAGGATGCTCTGGGCAATGGTGTGTGAGGGGGCCCTGTCACACTCGTGTTCACTCCCACCAGGCCAACGCGTGAGGCGCCCCGCCTGCTCCCTTGAATGTTTTACGGTTGTCTGATCCAAGAGCTCAGTGGCACTTAGTGCGTGAAAAGTCAACCGTGCCTGTTGAAAAGCAAGGAAAAGGACAGCCCTCGTGGCAGCGCCTTCTCCCCCAGGGTCCACCCACCAGGCATCCCTCTCCCTGCAGTGCCCAGCCTCCCAGCTCCTAAGCTGCGCTCCACTGTGAAGTCACACAGTGAACACCTGCGGCTCCACAGAGCACACGGAGTCCCTCCCGAGTTCCCCTGCCTAGGAACACACGCGTGGCGACATCTAGTGGTCACACAGGGGAACAACCATGGCAGACGTGCTTTAAAGCCACCCATCCAGGACAGCACCGCCACTCCGTCACCAGTCACTGCATACCCTCGGGAAACTATCTCATACACAAACTCCCCAACCAGGAAGCAGCCTTGCTTCTCCTTCCCTGTCACAACATGGTCCCCTCCCTTCCCCCTCCAAAGGTGACCCCACAGCTGTCCACTTTCCTGCACCTGTGAAAGCCCAGCTGCAGCCTCGCTCTGACATGCTTGCATGCAGGAAAGCAGCTCCTCCTGCTGGCTCAACTCTTAGGCGGAGCTTGTGACCCCAGGCTTCCGGACTCCGTGGTGCCTCTTCATTCCTCCTCCACGGGTCACTCGGGCTCCTGGGGACCCCGTGCCAATGCTGCTCCAAGCTCTCCCGGGGCCTGTTGGCACTTGGGCTACTGATCCAGGGAAGCCTGCGCAGCACCCACAGCACTGAAGCTGGGTGTCTGCTGAACGCACGAGGGTGGCCCCTGAAGACACCCAACTCCCGCACACACGGCCGAGCAGCAAGCCAGCCAGCCGGGGGCACTGACACGGATTTATAGGTCAGCATCAGCACGCTGCACACTCAGGAAGCGCCTGTTGACAGGATCGACAGCAAATCCCACTCCCGGCTTTGTGATTCTTGCACGGAATTCAGAATTTCTATTTAAAAATCTACTTTAGGTGCCACGGGCTTGTGCTAATAACCAAAAATCACAAAAATCTCATAAAAATTATTTTTAAAAAAAGATTTGAAAAATAGAGTGATTTGGGTGGGGGAGATCTTCTACCTGCTGGTTCTCCCCCAACTCCAAAAAAAAACATGACAGCCAGGGTTGGGCTAGGTCGAAGCCACGAGCAAGGAAACGGACTTGGGGTAGCAGGGACCCAAGGACGTGGGCCATCGTGGCCTTCCTAGGCATATTAGCGGAAGCTGGGTAGGAGGCAGAGCAGCTGGGCCTTGAACCAGTGCTGATAGGGGATGCTGGTACTGTAGTGGTAGCTGAACCCACTGTGGCATGTTTAAGATCAGCCTTCCCAAGTAATTTTTTCTCTTAAAAATTTTTTTTTTAATTGGAAAGTTAGATATACAGAGAGGAAAATCTTCTGTCCGTTGATCCATCCTCAAGTGGCCCCAACAGCGGGAGGTGCGCTGCTCCGAAGCCAGAAGCCAGGAGTCTCTTCTGGGTCTCCCACACAGGTATAGGGTCCCAAAGCTTTGGGCCGTCCTCGACTGCTTTCCCAGGCCACAAGCAGGGAGCTGGCTGGGAAGTGGAGCAGCCAGGACATGAACTGGCAGCGTCCATACTGAATCCTGGCGTGTGCAAGGCAAGGACTTTGGCCGCTAGGATACTGCACTGGGTCCATCCCCTCAAGTTTTTGATAACACATTTTAAAGGCTCTAATACATATTCTGTGCCTTTATCAAAATGATAAAATTCTGCATACTGATAACAGTGCATCAAAACAAATAAGAAGGTGAGCAGTCTAGAACAGGCCCAATGAAGTCACCTGAACACACACAGGGATTACTACACGGAGTAAGTCTCAACGTTACTCTGTTCACCATGAAGATAAATTTTAATATCACTGATTTCTTAGCAAAAGAAACTACCCAAGTGTGAAGCACTGAGGTCGCACTGACATCTTCCTGGGATGTGGCCACAGCGTACCTGGAGGTCATTCGGAAGCCCAGGCAGGCGGTCCTTTCCAAGGGGGCAGGTGTGCGTCTGAGCACAAAGCACTGTCTGCCACAGCAAAAGCAACCACAAGTGACATATGCACCTGCAAGGGGCTTGAAGGAAACGTGGCACCCTCCTGCAGCGGGCACCTGGCAGCCGTTCAACTGCATGGCAGCCTGGGACGAAGACAGGAGTTGCAGAAGGCTCCCCCAGCTCCCGGGCCACGTCTGTGCTCACAGGTCTAGGCCCTGGCAGTCACACTGCTCCTGGGCCTAGAGATGCACCGATGTGTAGGAGAGAATCAAAACACGGTGCCAGAGAGACATTCGGCAAAGCAGCTGGCAGGGCAGACTGGTAAGTTCACCAATAGCATAAAAGCTGTTGAGAAGCTCAGCCACGAGCATCCCTGTCCTGAGGCCCACGGGGCCACCTGGGCTGGCACCAGGACAGGAAACAGCCAGAAAACCTCAACAGGCTAAGTGCAGTCCAGACTCCAGCTCACAGTCAACACGGCCTCCCCCTCCGGGCGCCCCAGGCCTTGTGTGTAGACAATATTCATGAACCACCAAATAACATGGCACGTGCCCCTTCTGCCTTGCTCTCAGCACTGCCCCGGCCAAGCCCTTCATTCTGGCGGCAAGAATCTGGGCTCCTGAGTTTTCACAATTTCCCCCACAGGAGCCAGTAGCAGCCAAGGGCATGGCAGGGCACTCGCTCAGACCCGCCCGGCGTCCTCCCCTGGCCAAGCTGCAGGGTGCGCTCCTGTGCTCTGCATTCCAGGTGAGACCCGCAGTGACTTTCTTTGCTTTTCAAGCAGAGCACCTATTTGATCAACTTTTTAGACCACACCACTGGGGCTAAAACACCCAGTATGGGCATCTATCCAAAGGAAAGGCAAGCAGGGCTTGGTCCAAGAGCATCCACACCGACACACTCACTGAGGCGTTATTCACAAGAGCCGGACTGGGAAACAACCCACGTGTCCACCAGTGGGTGAACGGAGGAAGAAAGCAAGCTGGACACACACAGGGGACTCTAACTCCCTCTGGGACAACATGACTATCAGACCAAGTGGAAACAGACCAGACACAGAAGGCAAACACACCGGGAGCTCCAAGTGCAACCCATGAAGACAGAGACTGCTGGGGGTAGGGGTGAAGTGGGGAGACTGGGAGACCAAAGCACACAGCTTCAGTTCTATGATCATGGGGCCAGAGCTGGGGTACAGTGGGTGAACCACCACCTTCGATCCTGGAGGGCCACTCCTGTTTCTGATCCAGCTTCCTGCACCTGAGCCTGGAAAGGCAACGAAGTTGGCCCAAGTACTTGGCTCCTTGCCACTGAAGACCTCGACAAAGTTCTTGGTTCTTGGCTTTGCTCTGGCCTGACTATGGCTCTTGTTATTTCAGGAGTGGACCAGCAGATGAAAGATCTGTCAGCCTGCCTTTCAAGTAATTAAAATATTTTAAAAAGAAAAAAATTGGGGACCAGCACGGTAGCCTAGTGGCTAAAGTCTTCGCCTTGCACGTGCCAGGATCCCATATGGATGTCGGTTTGTATCCCAGTGGCCCCACTTCCCATCCAGCTCTGGTGGTCTGGGAAGGCAGTTGAGGACAGCCCAAAATCCTTGGGACCATGCCCCGCGTGAGAGACCTGGAAGAGATACAGCTCTGGCTGTTGTAGCCACTTAGGGAGCGAATTAACAAATGGAAGATCTTCCTCTCTCTCTCCTTCTCTCTGTATATCTGACTTTTCAATTAAAATGAATAAATCTTTAAAAAAAGAGAAAAAAATGATAGTTTTGGGATCTAACATGTAGTGACTACTCTAACACTAGTACTGGACTGTTTACTTGGAATTTTGTAAATAATTAAGATAATTCTTTTTATTTAAAAGGCATATTTACAGAGAGAGAATCTTCCATCTGCTAGTTCGCTCCCCAAATGGCCACAACAGCCAGAACTGGGCCAGCTAGAACTGGGAAGTCAGGAGCTTCCGCCAGGTCTTCCACACAGGTGCAGGGCCCCAAAGACTTGATCCATCCTCTGCTGCTTTCCCAAGTCACAAGCAGGAAACTGGATCAGAAGTGGAGCAGTCAGGACATGAACCCATGCCACAGGGTCTGGGATAAGCAGGCGCACACATTCCTGAACACCAGAGGCATGACAATGTGTCAAAGATGAAGTCTGCCCCTGGGGGGGGATTAAGTACTGTGTGGACAGCTGCCACAGCTGGAGCAGGATGACCCGCATCAGCAGCGAGGCCGGGAGGTTGGTAAACACCTGTAACACACAAGGTGGTTCCAGCAGAGGAAAGCCCAGGCCAGCCTGCCAGTCAGAGGAGCTGCGACAGCTGGCTTTGCAATCCGACACCCTCCAGTGCTTGTGTAGCGAGGGGGCGTGGTCCACGCTGGGGCCTGTGGACAGCACTAAGGGCTAGAATCACATGAGGAACACGTGGCCAGGAAGCTTTGCTTTTCCACATACACACGCGCCCCTTGCGGAGGGAAGAGGGACAGAGGACTCAGAGGTTCCAGATTCCAGGGGAGACACAGGGAAACTGCTCCCCCTGCCACGCTGGCCTCAAGGTCTCCTCGATGCACGCACAGAGGCACCTGCCGTGTCGTCCTCATCCTCTTCCTTTTTTTTTATATTAATTT